ACATCAAAGTAAGCAGGAGATCATTTGTGGGGACAATGTGTATTACATCATTACTTCTCACCCGTTCTCCAGCCTCATCTATGCCCAGGAAGTTGCATACATACTTGGATGACCGCTTTTCTGTCAAAGATTTGACCTTCAAGTGACAAATCCTACAAGGGGTCAGAGAGGATGTTGGATTCATTGTGTTGGTTACTTCCGCGTGCATAGGAGAGTCTCCTAGATGGCATAGGATCGTAGTCATCACAAAAACTTCTTTTTGCGCTTTGTGATCAAAGGCCACAAAGCCATCTTCAGTCAATTGGCTGAAAGACCTTTTCAGTTTTCCTCATTAACATGTTAGTTATAAAAGAACGTGGTAATCTCACTTCAACTCGTCTATCAAAGGGTCTGCCAATTCTAAGGCACCTGCGGTGTTCGAAGTCGATAAAAAATGACAATTGAATTCTTGATTTGCTAACTTAGGCGGCAGACCGGCTAAAGTGAAATAGAAAGCCAAATGCTTGTTCCATCTCTTGGACACATTACCCGAAAGGTCATCACAGTACAAGACCAAAGGGAGATGTCGAATAATTTGACTATTTGCTTTTATTCGCCAAGGGTTGAGATATGGCACTTCCATAAAATCGTCTCCTTTTTGGGCTTTGACATCAAACCAAATGTTATTACAAAGCAAAATTGCAGAATCAATCCTATCAACTCACAATACATGACGTTGCTACAATAGGATTTCATTAATTGTCCATCAGGCAATTCAATTTGGTCAAACGTCCTCCAGAAAGTTTTGATGTTGATTGTTGAACAAGAAGGTGAATCAAATGCGGAGACAGCATTAAATTCAGTTCTAATTTTAGAATCTCTACCTACTTTGACAAACTTTTGGACCGCATTGACACACTTGGCCAGGACTTCTTTACCAGATTTATAAAAATAGAAAGGAATGATGATTTTTTTTGACTGCAATTGAACCAATTCAAACAAGTAGAAATGATTATCTCCCTGTTCAACCATCTGAACTCTAATATCTTCATCAAGTTCCTCACGCCACTTCTTTGACTGGGAGAGGCGATGAACTTTAGATTGAGCATCGGGAAGCTCCGGTATGAACTCAAGGAAATCGACAACGTATGGGTTTGCCAGTTCCTACAAAGACAGAGATTCATAACACATTAATAACCTGCTTATAGGCGTGAGATATGAGTTATCCTTGCCTGTCTCAAAGTTTCCTTAAGTGTTAAACCAAAGCACGGATTTTCGAGTGGGCTCAGTGTTTCACAAACATTGAAATTAAAACGTTTCTTCAAACGTTGACGATGTTTTTGGACCGTTTTGTATGCCGGAATTTTAGCTCCAAGTAGGCTGATGAAACAGCGCAAACGCTCATAATCTAACAAGGACCTCGTAGTCCTTGTTGACCCAAGAATAAGCGAACCAACAACTTGCTAAATATGATAACAAATGTTGTCAGCAGAAAGAAGATATTTGGAAAATTTCCATTACGGACGTGCCTCAAGATTTGCAAAAGGAGCCCATGACGAATCGTCTTTGTCCTTGTCGTTTTCAAGGGGGTCTTCTTCGTCTGACCCAATTGATTCATCCTTTTCTGAATCGGAATGATGTGTATGATCTAAAGCATCATTGATAGAAGTATTGGTGTCACTATTGATGTTTAACGCTGGTGAGCAAAAGAGAGCGGATAAGTCTTTGGTCCACGAGTCTAATAGCCTTTTTCGACGATCTTCTAAGATCTCTTGATCTGGTTCCACATCAGCGAAATCGGGATTGTACGCTGGAAACTGATTATGATCATCCGGACTTGGTGGATCAGGTTCTACTTCCGGTGCCTCCGTTGTTGATAAATCGACTCGTCTCGCTGCTTCTTGTTCCAGCCATATCTTGTGAAACTTCCGATGATTAGCGGATCTGTTATGTTTTGCAATCGCATTGGATACCATCGGTCGACTGAGGGGACAAGCAACGCAAGTAAAAGATGAGGTTGTGCCTTCGATTGTCTCGTGATAACCTTGAATTATCACTGCATCAGTCATCTCGTTTGTCATCACATTGAGACAGTATAAATGGTTCACATTCATCAAGCCCATTAGTTGGGTCCATAATATTGTTGATGATGTCGATTAAGGTTGTTTGGCTTTGATGTGAAGGCCGTGGATTTGTGAGCAATCCTCCTTTTAAGAAAGGGAAAAAATTAAAAATCGAGTATAATGATGAGATTGATGGCTCCTTGAAAAATGCCAAGGGTATGCCTTCCTTCGATGGTTTGAAGGGAAATGCTTCAATATAACATCTTCCTTCATTTAATTGAAGGGAAAATCCCATTCCGGATAGGAGATCATTATCGATCTTTCAACCGTTGGGGATGAGGTTTCCCTGCGGTGATCTGTGTTAAGATGCAAAACGGGTGACAGTGACCTCGTTATTGCGCGCGGTGACTTTTAATACAGTTGTTCAACCACTTAGCCAATGGTTGAACAACTGTATCGGGCTTCACTGCGTGGAGACCGGATCAAAACCCGAGAGGCCGACTTTAAAACGCTGGGCTGTCACCGGTTTGTCTCCCAAACTTCCTGACACCGGGTCTCTAACGAAAACAGGCTTCGTGGTGTACCCCCTGGTGTACCCAGTTTTCGGACTCGCTTTTGGGTGACTCCTTAACTTCGGGGTTCTTAGTGAAAATCAGTTTACGTCTCTTGCATGTAAGATTCCAGAAATTTTTTACTGTCATGAACATATTCGCGCGGAAGTACCTCTCTCTCATCCAGTCATCCAAGCGTTCAAGTTGATAATTTTTCATCACAAAGTAAAGGTTAAAAAAATTCATCACAACGTAAAATCATTCAAAGCTTTTGCTATAAACGCGTAGCGAGAAACAAATTCGAGAAATGTGTATTGAATACATTTTGGAGAAGATGAAACATGTCTAACTTGCTAAACATAAAGCAACATAAATCGAATAGAAAAAAAGACATTACTTTCATCAACGTTGCCTAAGGGGCAGAATGCATTCATGTCATACAAATTAAAACAATGAGGTAAGATTGTGCAAGGGACAGAATTGGATTGGACACGATCCCCATCCATTTGGACCCCCGTGAGACTGAAAATCATCTCTTGGCGTATCTTAAGGTGAGGAATTTAGCTGCGACCACTGTGACTACGGAATTGAATACACAAAATCCCACGAGTATGCCCAAATCCCTCCATCTATGGGAGTACGAGTAATTTAAGGTCGAATAAACTGGAGGACAGAATAAACATATGAACAATTAGTAATCATTGTAGATATGGGGTACGAAGTACTTGTGATAGCTTACATTCATCTCCGACCCTGTACTGACAATAATCACAATTTGACGTGGCATCGGGATTCTCTAAGTAACCTCCTGATGAATTGACAAACGCCGATAGCCATTGTTGACAAGTTTGTCCACTGGGAGGTTGGATGCGCGCGCTGTAATGTTTCACATCGACGGTCAATGAGCCGTATATGAAACTTGATGAAGGACATGTCACTCACAATTCTTCTGGGGCACAGGTGATGCGTAGGTCTCGTAGTTCATTCACCACCAATCCCGCCATGATTCTCGTATAAGGATCCAAATTATACATCCCTGTGAAACAACAATATTAGTATCAATGAGCGAAGTGGGTATTGAGAGATGGGCACAATGGCTGACATTGTCTCCAAAACTTGGGCATGGCAGGCTGTGGAACTACAGAAAACAAAACTGTCAAGATGTGACTAACTTCCGTGAGAGAATTTAAAAGCGTACCAGTGACTCCGCAAAATAGGGAAAGGAAGACGCTGTAGACGGGGCATGTGCGAAATTTGTAGTGAATACAATGTCTCCCTTGATCGGTGAGAATTCCGACAACGGGTGACCACTTACACGACGGGTGCGTTGACTTGATTGGAAATAAACATACTCGGAGACAGTGCGGCAATTGCTTGACCCAGCGTTACGGCGAAAACTTCCATGAGTACAATCACTATGAATGCAACAAAAAGAGCAAGTCAATAAACAGAGCGTCGGTTCTGGTGTCATCGATTGAAAAGAAATCAAGACTGAACTCAAGAAAGCGTAGCCGGCTCTGGTACTCGAGGTGTTGAATCCGTTGCAGAAATACCACAAGAGATAGTAAGCTACTGCACAGAGTATCGAGTAAGGCATCTCCGCCAAAAACTGGCTGATTGCGAAAACTTCTTGCATATAGGTCCTTGACGAAGACTCCCGCAGAAATATCACACGAGACATGATGAAAGACGGCTCGACTTGTGCTATGATCTATTGATTGAATGCAGATGTCGTGGTCAAATGAGGTAGTCGCAAAGAAAATGGACGCGTTGGGACTACATGACACGAGAATGCTTACCAAGGCGGGTAAGACCCCGGCCACAAAGATTGAGAATATTCTGAACTGCAGTGCAGATACGGAATCATTCAAGCTCAAGAATGTTAAGCCAGTGAGAAGGCCAATCGAGAGGTGATTGAATAATCGGGTCCACTGGTAGTCCGCATTGCGATAGAAGGCAAGATTGGCCCGCTGGAGGACAACCTTGAGCTGGAATCCGAAGGGTTGAGCGTCTGGGAAAGGTTACAAGGGGTCAGCCGATCGAAGCGCGGTACGGTGAAAGGGGAATACATCGAGCTCAACATACAAGATGTAGCGATTTCAGTAGAGCCTCCATCGGGGTCGGAGATGGATACCTGTTTAAGCCGTTCGATCTCGCGCTTATTTTCAGCGTGTTCTTCACTATCCAGCCAGCGGTCTGCCCAGTCTTTCTTTCCCCCCATCTGACGGGAATTTCCAGCACCAATGGCCTCAAGCATGAATTCGGCAGGATTGGCTGATTCGGGACATTGAGCGCCATTCTTTTCGAAATAAGAGCGCAGAATGTGAGAGTCCTTGCCAATGCCGCCAAAGTACACACATCTTCCCCCACCCTTCAATAGTAACAGTCGATCAAAATTTTCGAAAAGTAAAGCGTTCGGTTGATGGATAGTACACCTACAGGGGGAGAAGAGTTTCAATAGCGGTGAGGTAAAGAGGAACTGAAAGCACGTACAAGATTGCTTGACCTGCGCCGGCTAGTTTTTTCAAGAAGCGCACGATATTGTATGCACTTTGACCGTCCAGCCCAGATGTAGGTTCTAGTAGCAGTCCCGTGTGAGAAGAGTATGATCGTGGTATAAATAGAAATCAACGCTCACCATCCAAAAAGAGAAGGAGCTGCGGTTTGGCAGCTAGCTCGACACCAATTGTCACCCGTTTCCTCGCTTCGACCCCGAGACCAAAACCAGGAAAGCCAATCATGGCTGGGGGAGGGAAAAGGAGCGTAAGCAAAAGTACCGCAAGGTCGAACAGGCATAAAATATACCATCAGCGAGATCCTCCATTTCTAATAATTGTATGACCTCTTCGACATAAGCGTTTTTGTCTTCGATCGAGACGTGGGCCGGTTGTCGAAGATAAGCAGAGAATCGGAAGGCTTCGCGAACGGTGGCGGTCCATTCATGTGTGTCCTGTTGCTCGCAGTAAGCTGTGCCTCTTTGGAAGTCGGCTCCTGGAGCGCGTCCAGCGATGCACACCTCGCCTCCAATCACACCCTGTTGGAGATAAGCGGGTTTAGGTCAATCATGACAAGAGCGCCAGAAGATACGAAGCGTACAGTAGTCTTGCGATTGGCCAACACGTCTAGCAGTGTGGTCTTTCCCGCGCCTGTAGTATCGGAAGGGGAGGCATCAGCAGAGACCTAGAGCACCCAAACTGCGGAAGAAAGGACGAACCCGAGGATCCCATTAATGCAGTCAACGTTCCCGGCTTCACGTAGCCATATATTTCGTTTAAAAGGCGCTTCTGACCACCTGATACTTGGACATCGTAGGTAAGAGCTTCCCATGTCAAGGGCTTCTTTGTCTGGATTAATCCACTAAGGTCTTGTTCTGCTTTCCCACTTCTGAAATCTTGTTTTCGACTTTGCAAAGATTCGTTGAGCCGCTTCCTTTCCGCGTTCTCTTTGGCAAACTGATTGGGAGAAAAGTTTGCTATTAATTCAGGAATGAGATTTAATATTTGCAGATACTTGTGGCTTACCACATTGATGGCTGGCATACCGGCACCCGGTGCCAAGTTTTCTACGGCTAGAAAAAGGCAAATGGTGAATAATCCAAAAAAGGCCACCTATTGAGATCAGGACGAATAAAGCTCAATCAATAATAGTCGTATGGTGAGATGGAGATAGGATAAAAATGCTCAATGACAAACTTCAATTCCGAAATTCCGCCATACGTGGTCTTTTGAATAGGTATATGAGGATGAAATATAATCTTCTCCAATCACGATTGGGTTTCCAGGGCGAGAGCCTCGGAGTGTGCAGACTTGATTTGGTCCGAGGCTGGAAGGGTAAGATGGGCCATTCGGCACGATGGAAGCTCCATCACAAGTTCTGAAGTACAATCAAGATATTGTCTCAGTAGCATGAAATCCATGATTTGAATCAAAAATCATACTCACAAATCCAGCCGTCCAAATTCGTTGCCCATGAGTGCCGCTACGACAGCAAAGACAAAGTTAGATTTAGGCCTCGATGAACAGATGAGTGAAGGCTCACAAAATGAGTAGTTGACAGGGTTGATGTAGTACAACTGTCGTTGCATATACGAAACTCAGCCAGCTGGACACAGACATACTTGCAAGTGAACCCACTGACCCAAACAAGCCATCGTTTCATCGCCGGCTCGGGTATCATGTAGCCACTATAGATGACCATTGTCATAACGAGAATACTGGCCAAACGTGAGGCCGTGTCGAAGTTGAAAGATATGGCGCCCAAGAACCTGAAAAAAGAACTGAGAGCCAGGCAGGTGGTGAACACGATTAGGTAGAAGGTGAAAAATGCGCCGGCATTGCTAAATAGCCCTGCCATAAAATAAAGCTGCAGAAAACGCCAGTTCCATGAGCTCCTTTCTCCAGATCAGTGGATCATTTGAGGAAGGGTAAAGATCTCACGATTATGCAAAAAACGAAAACCTTTGGTGCGGAGAAAGGAATATCGGCTAGTGTGTTCGCCAATGCAACAGCACCAGGGCGATAGAAGCAGAACGAAGTTTGTCGCCATACAATTGGGCGACCCATCATTTGAGCTGGTAATTCAGCGAAGGCTGGAAAGAGACTTGCTTCAGATCACGGTTGATAGAGTGATTTCAAAAAGCGACGAAACTACACACAGATGAACACATTGAACAGTAGACCAATAAAGATTACTCCGCCCCTATTCACGTGAGAGAAATATTAGCTTTGCTTCTCAACACGAGGTGACCAACTTCTTTACCTTGTAAAGGCACCAGCGGAGGTCGCAGGTAAGCTGAGGAAAACACTACCAACAACGATTGCTAGCAGTATCGTTGTCCCCCAGCCAAATATGAGGGCCAATCTATCCTGTAGTTTGAGCTGGACCTCTCGAATGATGAGCGCTCGAAGTTGTGTAAAAAGCGAAACCATTTGAGGAGACTAAAAAATAAGAGAAAATAAGCTTCATGTGATCATCGATTCAAGAAGAACAAGGACAGACTCGTTTGGGTGCTCCACGGTGACGGTCATCGCGTACGGCATTAAAGAACTCTTCACGCTCGCGTTTCTCTGACTCGACGTGAGCCCGATAAACCTTCATCTCAGCCTGCATTCGTTGGTAGACGTCGCTGGCAAGATATGCTTGTTCCATCTCTTCAGCCGTCTTGGGAACAGTAGCAGGGTCGACCCCGTCGGCGAATTGACGTTCGTTCGGATCAGTACAACCAGTGAGGTAGTCGGCTGTGGTTTGACGTGGCAAGTTCTTGTACCCTAATCCCATCATGTATGCTCGCGCCTCGGAGGCAGGACCAAAGTAGACTTGCCGGCCTTCATTAATGAGACAAACCTTGTCGAACTGCTCATAAATGCCCTCTCCGGCTTGATAGAGAGTCACAAACATCGTTGTCTTGAAGATGTTGGTCAAGATCCGGAGAGACTTGGCATACGAGAGGGCGGTAGAAGCATCAAGACCTCGAGTGGAGTTGTCCCACGAAAGTACGCAAGCTCGGGTTGTAAACATCTCTGCTATTGACACACGCTTTCGTTCACCTCCGGATACTCCGCGAACCTCTGCACTTCCGACATCTATACGAGAATGGTCAAGTCAGATCGGCCATCTTGTTCCTTTCAAGTAAATATTGAGATATACATACATGTGTCTTTCGTATGTGGAATTCCCAGCATCTTCAAAAGGACTTCTAGTACTTGCGCCTTGAAAAGCTTCTTGGTCTGGTTAGGAAGACGTTTAGCAGGCGTCTTTGTGGAAAGAGCAAAGTCTAGTGTCTGCCCAACGGTGAGAGTAGGATAATGTATATCGTCCTACATGACGAGAAAAAGTTAGCACAAGCGTATCCAGCGTAGAAGTTCGTTTGCGAAGGCGATGAGGAAGAAATTACCTCGGGGTTGTAGACGACCCTGAAGTACGAGATCGTACATACATAACCATAATCAGCATCAAAATTCAGGAGCATCATAAAACAAGGAAGACACGTACTCTCCCTTGAACTCCTTAGCCATAGTTGCTGCATCGATGCCTCCATATTCAACTGCGCCACCGATATCCCAAAATCCGATTCTTTGGTTTGTGATGACTTTGAGGAATGTGGAGCAACCTGAATTTGGTCGACCTAATACAAAGCACATTTCTCCGGGACGCACGAATCCATTGAAGCCTGATAAGATCGACTTTGGGGTCTTCTTCATGACACGCATCATGACAGCGATGACCGGGAATAAGAAAAACTCCTTGATGGCATCGGGGAAAGTACGGATTGGAAGCCGTATACCACCCATGCCAGTAACTGAGAGGTCGGAGAATATGACACCGAGGCGCTTGTGGCGAAAGCCATGTGCTTCCCTCTGGTGGGACTCGCCCCGCTACAATCATTGCACAACGCACAACATTAGTGTTTCTGACTGGGAGAATATTGGAGTCTTCGGGCAGGACAGCTGGGAAGGTAAAAAGACGCTAGATAGACGAGCAATAAAGCCACCCATAGACAGCCTGTTGAAAAGCGATGGCCTCACACATATGTCTATTGGGAGCAGATTGATGACAAACGCTTCAAGAGATCATAAGAGTGATTGTGAAGGATCGCGATGGACCCAAACCACATACGATCATTGAAGCATAGGGGGCTGCCAAGTCTACACGTCGGGAGATGAATGAAGACATACCAAGTAATCAAGTAAGTCAAACTCGCCGCCCTCTTGATCTTTCTCCTTATCAAGCGGGAGCGAATCACGACTGCGGGAGGCGGATCTAATTGGGCGCGCGTGAACAGACAGTAATGGTTAGGAGCTGTCTCTCGGTAGCAGTCTATTTTGCGGCGAACGTACATATGAGTCAATTGACGCCTGAGCTCGGCAAATTCAGCCTCTGCGCGAGCGACATTCACTACACTCTCCCGTTGGACTTGGTTTCCCTCCGTGTCTTTGGGAGCCTTCGCGCCATTCGATTCAAGAGAACTACGACTATCAGCGCGTGTGATACTGGAGTCTGGTCGGGATGGAGCGGTGGCAGGTTGGATATCGTGATGCTGATCTGGGGTTGCGGTAGACATTCAGTCTGGTCTCAGAGTATGAATGATGACAAAAGCGGGTCAAGGCAGACAGAGTAAGATTTTGGATGAAAGATGCGAGTGTGTACACAAAGTCAATTTTAAATAGGTGATGAAATTTTGTGTAAGGGTGTCTTGAATGGAATTGAAGGGACGAAGAGCCAACGTGGGTTGAGGGAGGTCGATATATATACAAAACTTGTATTCTTCTGCTTTGTATACAGCGATCGTAAGAAAGGAAGCACACTAGGTAAACTCCTACCTTTTAAAGTTGCTTTCTCTTTCTTACGTATGATTCTATGTCACAATCCTGATCGACGGACGCTGTTATGTCTGTAGTTGAATCATCAGATTCGCGGCCGGATGTTGCTCGCCGCGCTGACTGGCCGCTTCACTTGACTTCCTATAGCGTGAGTGAGTACATTGAGAGTGACTCGAGACAGACGAAGCCAAGGTTCGGTGGGAGCCTAAACTCACAATCTTGATTGCACAGATGATGTAGATACTTCCTACAACGGCCGGACGCGGCCGCGCGAGGGGCTTATGTAGTTGAGCTTGGAAAGAAACCGAAGAAACAAAAAAAACAAGTTCGCACATTTTACATACATAGATCTCGGAACTCGCTTGCTGCAACTGTGGTTAGGTCCAGCCTCTCCTCCGGTGAGCTTACACTGCCTCGAAGACTCCGAGACCCGGGTGGTAAACCTATCCAAATCTCAACACAACTTCTCAGTGATCGAGATCGGCTCTGATCGGCTGAGGTAAAGTCCAGCCGAGTCTGCTTTACCATTGTACAACTACGGGTCAACTTGTTGACAGAGGGGTGAATTTTGAACTCGAACCACCACAGTTAACTTTTCCGCAGTGACTGCGCAATCGCGTTCCATCTTTCTAATCGTCCTATCACCACATCACCCTCCTCATCCTTAAACCAATCACAAACCACCCTATCGCTCTCAAAATCTCTCGCATGCCACCTACCTCCCCCTCCGTCCCCCGAAAGACACGTTTCACACCGACACTGGGCCGCCCGGACGCGTCGAACGCGCGAAGAGACGCGTTACCGGACAGTGACCAGATCATGGACATCGAAACAACCCAGGAACGATCGGAAGACCTCCCTGCTCTAGGCCAACGGATTGGTAGTAAATCGCTATCCCAGATCCTGAAGCAACTGTCGACAAACAAGCTTGAAAACGGCGATGTTGTGATACCGGCGCACTTGGTCGAAATCGTCTTAGCATTAAGCCTATCAATGGAAGAGACAGCTCTAAAACTCAATGCGATGGAATCCCAACTCAAGGCCTCGAGTGAAGCTGCAAAACGGTTAGACAAGATCGAGCAACAACTGGCCACGCTAACTGAATCACGCACCAGTACCTTGAACCAACCGACCCAGATCCTACACCGTAACGGCCTCCCTGCGAAACCACCCACCTGGACAGCGGTAGCGACCCAGGGAATGAAAGTTACCTCGCCTCAGACTCCGCAACCGGCCCCACCGAATAAGATCATCAATGCGTTTCGCCCAAGCCAAGTCGTAATCAGGAGCATCGAGGGAAAGAAACCATTTGAAGGCGTAAAGTCAACAGAAATTGTGAAACGTGTAAACGAAGCATTAACTCAACTAGATGTTAAGATTGCAGGTCGCCGACTCGAGATTCGAGGAGCTGCAAGCTTGCCTATGGGTAATGTAAAACTGTATACAGCAACCAAATCTGAGGCAGAATGGCTGTTGGACAACCGGAGCCTGTGGTCAACATTAGCTGATCCTGAATTGATCACAACACCCGCAGTTTTCCCTATCGTAATCGACTCGGTACCCATGGAATTCTTCGAAAAACTAGAAGAAATCAAATCCACACTTGCGTCTCAGAATCCAATCCCGGCAGAAAAGATCCACTCGATCAGATGGCTCAGCAAACCTAAAACAGGACAAGTCTCAGGCTCTATCTTGGTTAATCTATTGGACAAAGAGCTGACTATGTTAATGACCAGGGGTTCAGTGTACTTTGAAGGAAACAGTTTGAGGGTGAGGGCATGCAAGAAGACACGTGTACAATGCTTCCGTTGTCAAGAACCTGGTCACATAAGCTTGCAATGCAAAAACAAACTTGTTTGTAAACACTGCAGTGAAGACCACGATTCGAGAACTTGCCCAAGTCCCCCAACTGAGATCCCTATCTGTATACGATGTGTGAACTACAACACATCACTGAATCCTGCAGCTACAATTGACAAGACAAACCTGAAATACGCACATTCTGTCTCAAGTGCCAACTGCCCAATTAGATCAAAGGGTCTACCTTCACCACCAACTCAATCATGTTAAGATACAACCTTGCTCAAGATATACGCAGTCTCCCTTCTTCCTCCTCCTCTCCCTTTTCTTTTCATCCCACTAATACATCAAGACAACCTACACACAAAGCACCTGAAAATATCAATACTGACAATGATTTTATCCCAGAAAGAACAAGTTTGAAAATCGCACAACTGAACTGCTTCAATAGGCAAGTTGTGCTGGAAAATCTACTAGCTGACGAACTATTTGACATACTTATATTACAGGAACCGTGGATAAATCCACATACACTCAGAATACCACAACACCCGGCGTGGCACGATTTCATGGCCTACGACTACACAGCAAAGACGTACGATGAAAAAACCAGAACAGGAATCTATGTGTCCAAAAGAATGCCCTCTTGGAACATCGCAGCATTACCAAGCAGGTCACCTTACATCACGGCAATAGAGATTACAGAAAACGACGCTAGGATCCCAAAACTGCGTATCTTGTCTGTTTACAATCCTCCAAGACACAACACAGGCTTACCGGTATTGGACACCTGGTTTAACAGACATAACGACCGGCACACACCAACCATCGTGGGGATGGACGCAAACCTACATCACCCAAGCTGGAACCCGACAAACTATCACCACACCCACCCGTTATCTAAAGAACTCATTAAAATGTGCGGACGTGCTGGATTCAAGATTCAATCCCAAAAGAACATCCCAACCTTCTACCCACGCGCTAGGGGAAAGCCAACAACCCTAGATCTCACGTGGATTAATTTTGAACTCTCAAAACAGGAGGTAATGTGCAAGACCACAAGCAACAACTACGGATCAGACCATCAAATGCTGCTAACAGAAATAAAACTAGACAAAATGCAGGCAACACAAGAACACAACTCGGCGAAGCTGGACAAACTGGACAAGGCAACATATTGTGATGACGTGGAAAATAGCTTAAGTTGCATCTCAGAAACCCTAAACTCAATTAAGGATGTTGACGACACGGTGAATTTAGTAACAGATTCGATCACTCAAGCTTTCTTCAAACAGGGAAAGATGGTCAAGACTAACAATCATCGCCACAAAGCGTGGTGGGACGAGGAACGACTGAGACCTCTCATCAAGGAGAGAAATAGAGCTCGGCGCTGGATGATCCTCAGCGGTACATACGAAGCGGCCCAGTGCTATTGGGAATGGAATAATTACGTAAAGTCCTTCATCCAAGACTTGAAACGCACACACTGGAGAGAATTCCTGGCCAAGACACAGGGAGGACTAATGTTCAAGGCTTTTAAGTACACCCAAAACCAAGGAACAAACGCTGTGGCACCGCTTTATAGGAACGACCAATCACTAGCTACTGACAAAAACGAACAAGCTGAGTTATTGTTTGCTGGTACTTCAATTGTAAACAACGTCTGTGACACGTCGGACTGTACAGATACCCAGAGGACGGACGTACCAACACCCCACCATCAGGTAACAGAACATGAAGTTGCCGAGATAATCAAGAAACTCCCATCAAGGAAAGCAAAAGGAGGTGATGGAATACCAAATGAACTACTAAAAACAGCTGAGTCCATCTTAGTACCAACACTAACTAAACTATTTGAAGCCTGCCTGACGCTTGGCTACTTTCCAAAAGCGTGGAGGACAGCTACGACCGCAATCCTGAGAAAACATGACAAGGACGACTACTCAGAACCGGGAGCATACCGGCCTATAGCACTGCTAAGTTGCTTGGGTAAGGTATTCGAAACAGTAATAACAAGACGTATCACATACTGGGCCGAAACAAATGATGTACTAGCTGAAGGCCATATGGGAGGAAGGCAACAGCACAGCACAGATGATGCGTTTGTCATCTTTTCGTCATGGATATATCACAAATGGAGAGAAGGGAAGGTAGTGTCGGGACTATTCCTTGATGTAAAATCTGCCTATCCTTCCGTACACAAAAAGAGATTAACTGACACTTTACGCAAAAGAAACTGCCCAGAATACATAGTGCGACAAGTGGAGGACTACCTCGACAACCGAACTACCGACCTTAGGCTCCAAGATTTTTTATCGGAGAAATTCGACGTAGAAGATGGTCTACCGCAGGGTTCCCCGCTCTCGGTGATACTATACATTATATACAACTCAACTTTACTCATCAACCTAGAGGTTGATGTGAAATCGGACAAGATATCCCTGGGATTCATTGACGACATTACTCACCTTGTTGCTAATAAGGACATTGACTTGAATGTGTTAGATCTAGAAGAAGAAGGAGAACGAGCATTAGAATGGGGTAGACAACACGGTGCAATCTTTGATCAGAAGAAGGCACAAGTCATGCACTTCACTCACAAGAAACACGCTAACCCAAATGTGCTTTTTGGGAACCAGGTACTGCAACCGCGAACTACAGAACTACGATGGCTAGGACTATGGGTTGATCCTAAATTATCCTTTGGCCCACACATCCAACGCATGCATCAATGGGGAAAAATGACAATAGCACAGATAAACAGGATTAACAAGTGCTATTGGGGAAATAGCCCCAAGGAGACAAAAACACTGATCATAGCAATTCTCAAGCCACGGATTCTGTTTGGAAGCGTGGTGTGGTTTAATACTAAAACGGAGGGTAAAGTCACCAAAATATTCAACCTATTACAAAACGCAGCTAATAGACTAGCATTAGGAGCCTTTAAAAGCTTGCCCATAGATCATATGACTCATGACGCTAACATGATATCTTTCAAAGACTTAGCAATCCGATACAACCACAACTTTGCTTACAAAAGACTAACAGCACCGAAAAAACATCCGACAAGACAAATCCTAGATAACGAACTTTTCCACACACCACAAAAGCTCTTAAGTCCAACACACAGAATGCTACGGAAGACTGACATGTTGCTGCCTACGAATATGACTGTAGAAACGATACATCCCTATCCGGACCCGCCTTGGTCTGAACCAAAGTGGACGGTAGAGAACAAAGGGGAAAAGCGAGATATAGTGAAAGACCGGGTGCCCAAACAAATCGAGGACGAAAAAGAGAACGGAGCATGTGTGATTTTCACGGACGGCTCATTCATCCCAGACGTAGGAGGAGGCGCTGCAGCAGCACTGGAGGACGGAGTCAATAGCCAAGCTTACGGACCACTACACGGTATTTCTAACTACGAGACTGAGACGATGGCGCTGATATTAGGACTGTTGAAATATAGGACGATAATCACGGAATCTCCCACTAAGTACAAATCCTTAGCAATCTTTAGTGACAGCCAAGCAGCGCTTGAACTACTGACGAACCCGGTACAACCAAAAACCTTACAATACCTAGCAAAAATGCTTTGACAATCTCATCGGACCATCCCATCAAATAGAAAAATCACCCTCTATTGGACACCGGGCCACGAAGGCATTACGTTGAACGAGAAGGCTGATCAGGCGGCCAAAGAGGCAGCAGAAGGCAACACCGATGTGGTAACTCTGCCAGTAAGCTTAGGAGGCCTCTTACGACACACAAAAGAAGTTTTAAAAGGAGAGCCATTTCAATTAAGAAATTCAAAACCAAGGGCCAATACATCGCTGACGCACTAAATCACTTAGAAAAGGGCCAAGCGGCAGCAATATTCCAACTACGATGTGGACACAGTCCACTACGGCAATTCTTACACCGCATAGGAGTCGAAGATGATGATAGATGCGAAACATGCAAAGTAAAAGAGACACCACACCACTTCCTCATATTTTGCAGAAGATACAATAGACAACGTCAAATTTTCAGAAAGAAACTTCAAGAAGAAAAAATCAATGTAGACGTAAATTCATCAACCAAAATATTAGACACACCAGCGGTATTCCCTTACCTCGCACAATTTATAGAAGACACAACAAGATTTACGCATTTGAAAACGTATATAGAAAAATGACATTACAATCACACAACTTATACAACTATGCCAATTTTACAGTCTTATGTTTCCCGCTCCTCTTTCTTCTTAATTTTACTTTCATTTGTGTATTACTATCAATTTCTTTCCGTTTGTTCCACGAGACGACTTATGTGAAGGCTTTGTAGACCGGATCATATCAGTAGACACACACAGAAGTTGTATGCTAGTTACATACCAAAACCACATAGTTAGATAGTGCGATATGTGAAATCCAAAGCACTTAAAAAAAAAAAAAAAAAAAAAAAAAAAAAACTTGTTGACAGATGCAATATCGCGGCGGCATGCTCACAAATGAGCTCGCGCGGTCAAAGTTAACAAAGTCCCTTGTTTTTGACTTGTACAGGCCAGCGACTTACACATGATGTCCCAAATTTGGCGTGAGACCTGTCGGGTATTTTCGACAAAACCCACAATGCTCACTGCACAAAAATAACCCAACTCAGCTCTTTTCGAGATGATGATCAAAAACATGCGCTGCTCCCCTGCGCACATTTGTCCGTTCTCAAAATCTCAATATCTTCATTGGCCCCAAAGATACCTCTCACAAAGGGTTTCGGGGCAGGACCAGGGCCCAACAGTTCCACAAGAATTTCAAATGCTGCGCGGGAGGAAAGGTTTCTTCAAACCCAATAAACTCAAGTTTTGTCATCCCAGGTCACCTAAAGATCATGCATTTCATTTACTCATTACTGTCCTTTGGTAAAACCTCCATTAATATCATGTATTCATTCTGTTACAATGAGGAGCAATGAAGTCATACTCACCATATGCCACATCTATATCAAGTTCACCAAGGATAACCAGCGATGTTTAAATCTTCAACCTGTCCAAACAAAGATGGAAAGGTCATCAGCCTGAGGAGACATGAGATGCAAGTTGTTAGAGAGCAATCATCATTCTGTGGTACAGATTAATGGGCTTACCTTGGGTTGGATGATTTCACGCCAAATGTGCTCTTCATTTCCAGTGGGGTAAATCAGATTGCAGAGGCCTATGAACACTCCGCAGATGACCATGCAGGAGTATGTCCCAGTTCCACAGAAAGAACATTGATTTGGTGTGAGAGACTGGTTGCAACAATCTAGTATGCTGAGAATGAACTCGTAGACAGTCAGGTTCTGACTCTGCAAGTAGTTGACCATGTTGAGGCTTCTATTGACAAGAATGCTTTGGGTTGGTTGGGGGTCTTGAGTGACAAGGGTTTTGCCTGAAGGGCTGACCACAATGATAAACTCCTGGGGGCTCATCCTTTTGGCAAAGATGGTGTTGGTAATATGGGCTATGTGATTCTCATGCTCTGCCTCACTGTCAGGAATGACAATTTGTGAAAGACCTGGTGAATTGCTATTGGATGGAGCCATTTCCAAATGGGTCAGCTGGGATGGCTCCTCTTCTGAGGCAGGACGTCTGTAGATGAATGATTCAGAGACAGCCCGGTCAGATTGAGCCGCATCATCAATGGGTCAGATTCATACAGTGCCAATTGAGATGAGTCGGAGGAAGGTGTGTCAGATTGAACTGATGCAGATTGAGGTGGTTCCAAAGGAGGTGTATCCATAGTGGTAATGGCAAAGGGTAAATATCACACTCTGGCAACAAAGGATGCTTATTGATGGGAAGAGCCATGCCCTTTTGTGCTCTCTTAAGGATGAAAATATGTTTGGTGCTAGTGCATCAACTATGTCCCAAGAAGGGTTTGGTAAAACATGCTTGGATTGGTGACTCAATGTTGGGATTGGCTACTATGTCAAGGGTCATTGGTTTGTTATCCTGAAAGATGATCCCCACCACTCATGATCCTTTGGACGCTTGGGCGGCCAAAAGTCCACATGTGAGAATGCATATGACTATTTCTCATGCTTTAGATATATGTGAATATATCAACAATGTTGGCTTCATGCCCAAAGAGTTCATGGTCACAATTTTCATCTACAAATTTGGACATTGAATATTGCCATTGATTAATGAAGATTGGTTTGGGAAGCAAAGCCACCTGTGCAATAGTTAAGTGTCTTGGTAAACTCACAAGGTTGTGTGCAAAAAGACATGACACTTGGGAGGAGATAATACTAGAAGATGTCAGAAGATTAGATTGTATATGCAAAAGAATGCTTGACTTACTTCATTTGCGGACATTGGCTTTCTCAGGCATCTGCCATTGTTAATTAGCAGGAGGTCAAACAAGGTCAATTCCCTGCAGGAGGATATACAAGTTCCAACCAGGTCACCCCAGACTACTTCAGCAAAAGTGCAGCCAACCATTTTGCTGATCAAATCAAGTCAGGAATGAGAATTCTTTGCTTGCTATTACATAGAAAGCTGTCCCTCACCATGAAAAATAAAATGCCTGAAGCAGACAATGACAATGATGATCCCAAGTGCACGTTCCTTGGCCCATCCAGTCTAGCACCCCACCTTTACAAGGTTCCAATGGCAGCAAAACAGTGATATAAGGAGAATTAGATGAGGCCACTGTGTTGTCCCTCAAGAACCTTGTCTTTGTGAAACACAGTGTGTCCAATCTAGCAGCTCTGAAATTGGGGAGTGTCAGCCAGCCACCTGATATAAACAAAAATGATTGGTTGAACTGACTGGCCAACACTACATTGGAACTTGTAAGGATCTATGGTGATCTGCTCAATGGTTGTGGTAGCTTGCAATTGTTGCGCCAACACAGTACCCCTTGCAAATGGCTTGATGAATTTGGCCAGCAATGTTTTGTATTGAGTCAACAGAAGGTTACACATGTTTGGTGTGACAATCTCTTAAACAAGTGTTTTACAAGCCATGGAACATTTGCGCATCCTGTGAGAAGAGTGGATGATGGAGCCTCTCAAAGTTAATTATAAGATCATGCCCTTACTATGCATCCATCTTTGAATACACAACACCTGCATTGACACATCTTCTTGACTTGTCCATGGAACATGGGGTTTTACCACATCATTCACAGTTGTCTGCAGGCTAAATGCACAGAGGAGGAGGCTAGCATTGCCACAATTCTGCAAGCCATGGGCCAATATGCGGACTGTCAGCCAGTGGATATTGGTTTGTTTGCACCTTTGCCTTCAGACATGGCACACTCGGTGTTAGTAATCGACAACTAGTGAACGTCCTCAAGAAATTCACAAGTCACATACCTGGAGTTCCCAATTCTGCAAAGCTACCCTTGCTCCCATGTAGACCACTGCCTATTGATCAAATTGCCTTGCACAAGCCAAACATACAATTTCCATGTATAATGGATGCGCTGGACTCTTTGGCAGATGGTGTTTCACAAGTCTTGGATGTAGTGATGGTCCAAATGGGTGTCAAAAGGACAAGTATGCAAAGCAGTTGTTAATAGCGGCTGGGGACGTTGGCTCATACCAGCTGCAGGAAAGTTTGTGAGTTAACAGGTGTTTGCCTGTTAAATCACTGGAGGGTATCAATGGTCCTTTCCATCTTTGGTGGGGCTCATACAAATTGGAATTTTGCAAAGCCCATTTGGGGACATCATTGGGGGGGGTTCTGAGAAAGGTCACAATACCAGGGTGTGGTGATCTGTTCATTTGTCAAGTGGCAAGTACAATAAGCCTGGGGTGTCTCAGAATTTCAATGGTATTATTCAATCATCACAGATTGTTCATAAATCAAACATGGTGTTTATTTTCAAGGGAGTAACATCACATTACAGAAAAGAACCCAGTAAAACACCGGTGCAGTAAAATATCACTGACAACCAATCATGCAAACCAGCCAGGTCAACAAGTCTGAGAAAGATAGCAACTGGTCCCAAGATTTGGACATTCGCCATGTGATTGATACTGTTTGGAAACAACATTTTGACCAAACAGCACTGAAAGCTGCTGAATCCAATGGCATCAACAGACATTACAATCTGATTATGCGTCTAATAGGTTTTGCCACAGACGTGGAGGCCCACCAGGCAACCCGTGCAGGTGACATAGGACACCGTGACCTGATGGTGATGTGGAAGCATGGGTCCATAATGGCACAAGGACTAACTGGCCTTTTGAATCTTGCAAGGCACATTCCCCACATTGTCATCCTTTTGGAAGTTGACTTGCCTAATAGTCTTGCACATGCCATCAAACACCCGCTACTGATTCCTTCCAGTGAACAAGAAGACCATTGGATGGCAATTGACAAGTACCTGGAAGTCCATATATTTTGGCTCAAGCATATGTACAACAACACCATGAGTTGCATAAGCCAAAGTGGTGACCAAAATCCAAATGGGTTTTCAATTGACTTTTATTGAAAACTCACAGGGACATGGAACAGACATTGAACGGCTCACATTTTGTCTCCCCAGCAACATTCCTTTGGCAATATTTGAATTTGATACATTGCAAAAACAGTGCGGGACTGACATATCCCTAGGTTGTTTGTCCCCAAGATACAAATGCTTATGCAGCTCCTAAAGTTGCTATCAGGTCACAGGATTGTCTATCAGCCTAACCCCTCAGCTATTCTGAGGAACATTTAACAAAGAATTCCAATGCACACCCACCGCAACCTACAGAAAATGTTTGGTGCAAGGGATTTGACCACATGGCAGATTTGGCCAATGCAGACAACACTCAGGATGAGCCCCAACCCCCAAATGCTGGGGATCGAGCTGCCCCGCCCCCCAACTTCTTTCTGAAAGTCAGAACGGCAAACAACCTCGCTGTTCCCTGAGCATTTGTTTCCTCTGAGGTACAGAGCGACTCCCTGACCCTGACCCCCAATGGGAATTGCCGGGTTACAGGGAATTACTGGTGATTCCTGATTCCCCGGCGATTTCTGGGAAAACTTGCTGAGCCACAAGTGTGCCATCAAGTCTTGACTTTGATTTCCCTTTCCATTGGTATTTGTAATGTTTGTACATACTTTTACACACATCTCCGCTGTTCAATTCATCCATTTTTTGACCTTCCTGCCTTAATTTGCATGCTTTGCTGCCTCTAACAAAAGCCCTTTTTCCTTGGATTCCCTGAGGAAAATCACTTTTTTTGGCCTCTCAGAACAACCCCCGGGACCGACTATCCCCGCGGGTCCGGTACCCTTTGAAGGCCAGAACAACCTCCTGTCCCACCGGGGAGGAGCGCAGGGATCCCCGATTTGGCGGGTCTCAGGGCTCATCCTGAGACAACACTGTGGATTGATTCTCAGGATTTCAGTGGAGAGCCTGAAATGTGTTGTTGTCTTGAGAGAATCCGGAGGCTCAGGGTGAGGAGTGACCTTATATGCAAATAAATCACGTCAGGATCTACACAACCTCAACTGTTGAAGTATTCAATTGACAAGGACATCAGTCTTAGTCATACTGAATGAAAAATTAAGTTATCAATCACATTATGTAAGATCACGTCAATCACAAAAGAATGCCAAGGAATAATGCATGGACCCGGTGTGGTGATCAATTTAAGGGATCAATCAAAAAATTCATATTTAGTAGTTTACCAGTTTATTAGAAAGATTTAGCAGGACAGAAAATTCAAAATGAAGGTTTTTTGGATCAATTGAAGCTCTTATAGGCTTATGTATTGGTCATTGGGTTAATATTACATCATTTAATTTCACATTACTTATTAAGATCATTAGAGTTCATTCACAAACTCATTACAAAAAGAAAGAAAGAAAAACATAAGAAAAATTTGAAAATATAGGTATATAGGTTGGAAAATGGTTTTTAGGGTAGTAAAAGTATAGTTATGGGTATTATGAGGATAGAATATGAAAGAAAAACATTATATTATACTGTGACAATTTTAATCTTGAAGGTTGATAAGAAGAAACAGAAGTTATTAGAGAAAAGGTACTTTTTCAAAGTTGGTAAACACGAGGTATACGTGTAGTTTGGATATGTAATGGTGGTAATAGTGAAATTTAAGGTTGCCAAGAAGATTTTCCGGGATTTTTAAGTTTGTAGAAGATGATTTCATATTACATGAGCAAGAAAAAGAGAGTAGAAGCTGTGAAAAGTGAAGAAAATGGGTGAATTTCGTCAAAAATGAAGGTTTTCAGCTCATTACATATGTCAAATGACGTCCGATTAGGTTGGTAGATAGCTCATTCAACGCAGAAGAGTAGATTACATAATGTACAAAATTTAAATCAATAGTAGCGGAGGTTTATGTAAAAAGTTATAAGGCAAATAAGGAATTGGTGTGAATCTCGAATTTACAGTCACAAGTCAACATGTAATACCAAAAACCTTAACTTCACAGCTCAATATCTTACTCATCACGCATCAGAAATAGGTCATATGGGTGCCATAAATGATCAGTAACACGAGGGCTGCAAGATGCAATTTAGTAATTAAAAATTGGACCTCATCTGAAAAAATTTGTAATCTCAAAATTTGGTTTTCAGCTAGTTTACAAGGAAAAAATCACCTGTATTCATCATAAGAAGTTCTGTACATCATATTATTGCGTCATTGATCACTTTTAGATGTGAAAATTACATCATTTATTAGTAACAAAATCATTACATTGCGTCATCATAGGGTTTTTAGGGATTTCTGGGTGGATTTGATTGGTTTTGAGGCTGTTGACCATTGTAAAAGTTGGAGTACATTGTTATATATACTTTGAGATGATTCTGGGACTGTTGTTCCCTTTTTTTCTTTATCATTTACGCAGTTATTATTTTGTTTATCATCATAAACTTATTTTAATAGTACCTGGTCACTTAAATATGCCCTTTATTATAGCTATAAAGAGAAATTTACTTGAGTATTATAGACAAAGAGACTTATTGGGAATAATATCATAAAGATATTGCTTATTTTCTTCAGTTATCATTTGGGAATAACACTATAGCAGTGTTGATAGTAATAAAAACTGTGCTTTTGAAGTTAAAATATGTGTGAAAGTTATATTTCTCCGGTGCCTTATCTGTACTCAATACAACAGTGTCTTTTCCTGATTGTGTTGTTTTAGAAGAGCAGTCTCAGACAACTTCTACTAGTCATTATATTAGTAGATTATCCTCTTCCAGCTCTGTATAACCCTTGTTGGGTTATAAGTTCTACACCGGCCCAGACTGGCATCCAGAGAGTGGTCCAAGCCGAGCTCATCTTCAAAAGCTGCCAACCCAGCCCCGCCCGGCGCAGTAAAAAAGAATTTTTTCCCGCTGTGTGGCTCAGCCACAAGGAAATCATTAGTTCCATCAGAATCAACAGCTTAAAATGGCTCAAAAACACCCTTGACCCTCTGACACTGCAAATATAATGTATTTTTCCCAGGTGAAAAATGATTACATTTATTTCACAAAATGATTAAAAATGCATTAATTCTGCATTAATTCTGCATTTTTCTGCATTAATTCTGCATTATTAATCATTTTGTGCATTAATGTCAATCATTTTTCACCTTGGAAAAATACATTATTTTTGCAGTGTGACAGCAGCACTATTGTCAGCCCTGAGTACATATACATGTAACCAAAACTAACCTGTAACAGTAAAAAACATATGTATAAGATTAACTACATGTTACATACTGAGCATAGACTGTATGTAACATGTAATACAATGCATCAAAACCTTTATTACATATACATGAACCTGTAAAACAACATGTAATATGTAACAAAACACCATTTACACCTCATAACTCAGTGTCAAGAGTTAAATGCTTATATTACATACCACACATAAGAGGTATATGTAATTAAGCATTACTAGTAACAATCATTACTGCATGTCAATAAATAACCCTGAACCAATGTAGTGATAATAACAAATATCACT